ACCACCAATCTTCTGGTTAGCAGTCAGGTACTTTAGGCACTGTGCTACCAGAGCTTCTTGGCACATAATAGGCACCCCATAGATGGTGTAGAATGATGAGCCTGGCACTCTTAGTACAGCAGTGTTTGCAGGGAGGGGCCTGATTTACCCTTAGCTTCTTCACAATCAAGGTCATGGAAGTGATGCTTTTACTGAGAGACAGTTCTGGGGCAAGGAGCCTGCAGAATGTGTTTTGGAAGCTCTGGTGTCCTTTCTCAGGACTTTTCTTTAGAGTACCTAATGTGGTTGTCCCTTGCTTCCAATGGACTAGCCACTGGGGAAATAGAGTGTTGTGATCCTGTATGAAAGCAGCTTGTAAGAATTGCGACTCTCCTACAGAAGCAGACCAAAACCAAACACAGCCCACTGCTGTGAAGTCAATTCTGACTCAGCACCCCTACAGGACAGGGGAGAACTGCCCCATAGGGTTTCCAACGTGGAGTAGTACATAAGGCATTTGACTGCTAACCCATCATCCACTCCTTGGAAGGAAGATTAGGTAATCTACTTCTGTAGAGATACTGCCTCAGAAACCCAAGGAGGGGTCACTATGAGTTGGATCGACTTGACGGCAGTGAGTTTGGCTTTTTTAGTTTAATCTTTATGGAAACAGGCTGCCACATCTTTGTCATGCGGAGCAGCTGGCAGATTGGAACCCCATCCTTTCAGTTAACAGCCTAGTGCTTTAAACCAGTGAAGCACCAAAGTACCAAAGCTCCTTTCAGAGAAGCAGAGGGGGACAAAATGGAGAGAGTGAAAGGAAGAAACCCTCCCTCTCACACAGCACCCTTCCACCTCCTGCTCTGAGACAGACACACATGCGCAGCACAAGAAGGAAAACAGTCACCGCTCTGGGGTTGAAGTGGCAACTTTCCGCTTGGTGCTCCCGACTCCCACTTTGCATGATATCATGGCACTCTGGCTGCCTTCAGAGCTCTCTATTCCTTCTTCCTCTTCATCTTTTTTTTTTTTTTTTAATTTCAAAGACATCTTTGTAGTTGTCTCTCCTACACTGGACAATTTTAAGGTTTTACTAATGATGAATCAGAAGTAGATTGAAGCCTTAATTAGCATCAGAATGAACCTTAACCATTTTTGAGGAGGGAAGTGTGAAGTCCTTGGTTTGCCCACTTCTTACTGAGGGATGTCTCCTTGTCCTACTGGACATGGTACTGATTCATTGATAAGCAAGTGAGGTGAGAGTGAGGCCACCTGGAGAGAAAGGTTGGGAAGGGAAGAAGCGAGAGGAAACTTGAGGGAGGGAAGAAAGGTGTAGGGAGGGTGCGGCAAGTCTATTAAAAGGTTTGTGAATAATCTAGGGGCGCTGTCAAAATGCTTTTTCCAGAAGAACCTTTTAAGCTGTCAGTCATCTTTAATAATCCCCTAGGGCATGGCGCTCCTGGTGCTGGTGTCCTCCCTGCTACTTTCTCTTCCTCCTCCTTCTCTGCCCCTTCCTCCACTTTTTTCATCCCATAGGCCCTGGTGCTGAAGTGGGTGATATTTGTAGCAATTCAGAAAAGCTCCACAGATTGAGAGGGGGAGGGCATCAATTACTTTTATTGTTGTATTTTAAATGAGTGAATCATCTTATTAAAACTGTGGTCATTTATTGATTAATTGAGCATCTGTGTGTGCCAAACACTGTATTAGACAACAAATACAGAAATGAGAAGACAGTGCAGGTTCCTGCCTTAATGTAGTTTAAAGAAAAAAACAAACCATTATCACAAAATTCTAAATGAAAAGATACCATTCATCATCAATATTTCATCGCTATATTTATAGAAGATATTTTATGGAAGAATGGGGAAGCACATTCCAGGCTTCCCAACCATTTCTCAAGTTGTGTTCTCTGAGATGTTAATGGCTTTTCTTTGGAAAAGGTGGTTCCATGATCAAAGATATTTATGAAATGATAGAGTAAGCAAAATAAATAATACTCTCTTTTGCAGATCTTGTCAGACATTAAGAGGGAAATATAATGTTCTGTGTTTCCCAAGTTTCTTTGGTTACAGAGCCAGTTTTTCACAGAATACATTAATGGCTTATAGATTACTAGCAATAGGAAGAACATAATATGGGAAATGCTCTTCCTTCTACAGTGTCCTGGCAAATAGTCATCTATTGAAATTACTCTGAGCTGGTAGCGTAGTGCCTAAGGCATTTGACTGCTAAACCAGAAGGCTGGCGGTTCAAACCCACCAGCCACTCCTCGGGAGGAAGGTTGGGCAATCTACTTCCGTAGTGATACTGCCTCGGAAACCCAGGAGGGGTCGCTATGAGTCGGGGCTGACTCAATGGCACATAACAACAATAACAACAACATCTTCAAATGCTAGCTCAATCACTCCCAGGACCAAAAGCACAATTGAAGTAGCAATTTCGTCATTGCCATTGGTGATACCAAATATTGTTTATTGGCAGCTGAGCACTGGTGTAGGTGCTGGACTAAAAGAAGCAACTCTTGGCAGGATGTCTTATAAGAACCTTGAAACAGAGCGAGGGAGCATTTCAGAAAAGTCATCTTTAACACGTGTGCTTCTCAATTCCCAGCTAAGGGTTCATATGCTTTGCCTTCACTTCCCTTCCCCATGATATTACCCCAAATCTTTCAAAATAGCCTGGAATTACATTTTATACATGCAGGGCTTTGAAATGCCCCCATTCTGTAAGAACATGCTAAAAGTGGGAGACTGGCTAAGCTATAAGGTTAATGGAGCCTGTTGGTCTAGAGAACCATAGGTGAACATCCATGCTTACCAGCTTTTATAGCATGTTTGCTTTATAATCATGAATAAAAGCAGAGCTAACTATTCAGTGATCATTCATTTCATCCTCCAGCTCACAGGACTCAAACTCTCTCAGAAAAAAAAAAAAAAAAAAGTTTCCTATTTCTCCTATAAAGAGCCCTGGTGGTGCAGTGGTTAAGATCTCAGCTGCTAACCGAAAAGTTAGCAGTTCAAACCCATAAATCACTCCACAAGAAGAAGATGTGGCAATGTGCTTCTGTAAAGACTACAGCCTTGGAAACCATGTAGGGAAGTTCTACTCTGTCCTATAGGGTCACTGTGAATTGGACTTTACTTAACGATAATGAGCTTTTGGGGTTTTATTTCCACTAAAATCCCTCATAGCTCTTGGCATCTGATTCTTTTGCATCTTTCTTCTGACAACCAGTAAGTTCCCTCTGAAGTCTGACCCACATCTTCCCTGCTTGTATTTAACTGACCAGATCTAGTGAAGCCAGAGAGTTGGCTCTTACACATTAAAACTGCAAGATTTCTCCCTTTGTCCCATCTAGTTCAGATTGTGATTAAAAAAAAAAAAAAGAAACTTTTATTCTGCTTCATTTGCAATCATATCTCTGAACAATGTAAGGATAAGAAAGAAGACTCAAGTTTGGTGAAAGAAAGTTGTCTTAGAAAATATTTTCAATGAGAGAATCTACCATACAATGATGACTGCCCTATTGGGGGAAGTGGGTAATTCATGATGATTGGGAGACTCTATTCTATGAACTGAAAAATTTGAATGAGAAGCAGAGAGAGGATAATTAGGGAGCAAAACAAGATGAAATGTTATAGAAGTCCAAAAGAGGCATGATGGCAGTGAATCAAAATATGTTTGCAAATTTTAGTAGTTAGGGGAGAAAAGGTAACTCACAGACCAGCCAGAAACTCTTTGCTATTGAAATTCTGAGTTTAAATATCCTGCTAATATAATACGTAAATTTTAGACATGGCACTTGACTTTTATGTCCTTCTTTCCTCAATGAATTGAGAATAAAATATATTTATCTCCAGATAGAATCCTGTTGTGAATTTCAAGCAGATATGAAAGTATGTATATATTTGTGTGTGTGTGTGTGTGTATATATATATATATATATATATACATGGCACAGGAGGTATTTCAAAGCCCTGCATGCGTAAAATGTAGTTCCAGGCTATTTTGAAAGATTTGGGGTAATATCATGGGGAAGAGAAGTGATGGCAAAAAGTCTAAACCTTTAATTGAGAATTGAGAAGCACACATGTTAGAGAGGACTTCTCTGAAATGCTCCCTAGCTCTGTTTCAAGTTTCTTGTAAGACATCCTGCTAAGAGTTGCTTCTTTTAGCTAAATTGTGTAATATACAGTATATTTCTCTACAAGCAATACACCCATGCATATTACGTGCATAGCACACATAGGAAACTAACATGCAAGGGGGTTGCACAGTTTGCAAAAAAAAAGTGTAATGTGCCTTATTTGCATAAAAATACAATACTCCTTCCTCAGCCTCCTACCATTCAGGGATCTTATACTCAATCATGGCACAAGAATTCAGAATACGGATTTCCATGTGTTTTTTAAGTTGACTGTATGTTAGCACTAGAGAGAAAGAGTAGGAGACCACACTTCAAATCTAGATTTATTAATTAGTCACTGTTCTGTCTAGAGCCTTGCTAAGGCTAGGCTTGGGCTAGCTTGGTACTGTGATGGAAAACCAGAGCCCAAAGTTAAGTGGTAAGCAGGATGTGGATGACCCTACTTTCTCCCAAGCAACCATGTCAAGGCCTTTGCCAGCATCATTGGAATAGCACAGGCTGCCTCTCTCTCTTTGAGAATCTGACCATCTCCAGGTATAAAGCCTTAAGACCATATCACCCCACTATAAACCACTAATTGTTTGCATGAACTTGGACATGTATTTGACATTTCTTTGTTGTTTGCTGGTAGGGGAGGTTATTTTAATATTCCAACTTGGGCTATTATGGTCAGGCTAATGTAGTGCCCTTCACTATGTTCATAGAATGTTTAACCCATAATAATAGCAAATTGGGCATGGGGTGAGGCAATGTGTAACTCTGTTACTCTATGGTTGTTATAGCACACTGTGTGAGAAGCTACAGGACTGTAGGCCTTTTTCTGGCAAATGATTTTGATTATATATTAAGTCAACATTTTTCTTTCTTACAGACCAATGATGCCTTAGGAGCCACCTGGAATTGGCTGTACTTCATTCCCCTCATCATCATCGGATCCTTCTTCGTTCTCAACCTTGTCCTGGGGGTGCTTTCCGGGTAAGCTAGATGTTTCTCTCTCCTCTTAACTTCTTTGCTAACTGTAAATTCATGTCTCCTGAATCACTCATTCAACCTTCATTTAGAAAATGTTTACCAAGAAGCCCCTATGTGACAAACTCTGTTCTAGATGCTTGGAATGCAGCAGTGAACAGCCATTCTAATCATTTTTATTATTCTTAGGAATTTAGGAATTAAGAAAAAGAAACAACTTTTTGATGAGGCACCATATTGAACATGGTACCCAGTGAGAATTCATTTATCCATCCATCCTTTGATTCCATCCTCAGCAGTCATTGGCTTTTGTCAAACACTGTGCTTGTTTTTAGGGATATGAAGTTGAATAAGATACAGCCTTTACCCTCAAAATATTCTTGTGTCCAGTGTATTGGATGTCAAAACCCCTATTTTTGTCATGAATTAGTTTTTGTCAATCATCAAATACTCAGTGTTCAATAATATGCTAAGCATGTCTTTTGCCTTTAAGAAACTTATGTTTTGCTAAGACAATGACACAAATACTTGAAACGGGAATGGAAGTTCTGTTAAGGACTAACATAAGACATGGATCATTTGTTTTAGAGAAGGGACAAGTCCATATAATCTGAGGTCATCAGAGATGACTTCATGAGGGATTGGGATTTTGCTTGGAATATGAAATATGTATAGGGTTAAATGGAATAATGGAACTGGATATTTCAGGAAAGGGAACAACATAAGCAAAAAAAATCAGAAATGGAACTTGTCATGAAGTTTGAAGAGATTATAATGCAATCTAAGTTAACTAAAGTAAAAGTATCACTTGGGACATGGAAAATATGAGATAGAATGGCTAAAATGGAGACAGATTTGAGAGAGTCTTAGATTTTTCTAAGCAAGATTAAACTTGATTTCTTATGAGAGAGAATGACCAGAAGGCCTTAAAATAAAAATTTATAAGGTGGTGCAAATTGAACATGGCAGATTGAACCAAGAGGTCATCTCTTAAAATGCCACTAAAACAGAAAATACATTTTTTAAAGGGCACAGGACAAAGAGAACAGGAGAAGGGAAATGATAACAGATGAGAGATGTCAAAAATTTTGGTGATGGAAAGTAAATGGTAACTGACTTACAGGCAGGAAAATTGAGATTTAATTGCCTACAGTGGGAATGCCAATAAAACACCAATTTGATTGCCCTACAGAGTCTTAGAAGGGCTCAGGAATTAGAGGTACCAGGTACCTCCTCACCCCTATACTTTAGATCTTTACTTCCAGACAGGTGTCTCACTCAATTCCTACCCTAGCAAAAGTCAGGAGACTTACTCTCTGAAAAGGCTGAATCAGAGAAGCTTGAAATTGTAACATCAAGAACATCTGAGGGTTGGATGATATGATGTACTGAAAACAAGAAGTCTGCAAACTGAATGTCAGTACTTCAAGCCAGTTTCCACTGCTTGACTCTCAGGAATATCACAGTTTGGCAAGAATTTAGAGGAAACTACCTGTGTTAACTGAAAAAATGTACAAACTTATATTAGGGAGCCCTGGTGGCACAGTGGTTAAAACACTAGGCTGCTAACCAAAAGGTCAGGAGTTGCAACTCACCAGTTGTTCTGTGGGAGCAAGATGTGGCAGTCTGATTCTATAAAGATTTACAGACTGGTAAAACCTATAGGGAAGTTCTATTTTGTCCTGTAGGGTTGCTGTGAGTCAGAATTAACTTGAAGGCAGTTGGCTAATGGATTATACTGATATTTGAGGGTGACCAGAGAAATAGACCCACACTTCAGCACCCTCAGTGAGGCTTACCATTCTGCAAGCTCCAACCATACACGTTGTTTCCAATAAGCTTTCTGTGCCTTGATCTTAAATATGAATGCACAGCTAGGAATCATCGTCATCATTTGAAGAACATAAAAGGCAAAACAGAACAATAAATAAAGGGAACTTGAAGGAATAGCAACAATTCAGGAGCCAAAGAAACTTGGGGGGAAAAAAAAAACCACTGTAATTTATATTAACAGAGATAGAAGTAATTGCTCTCATATAATAATAATATATTGGTACCAAAAAAAGAGGAATATTTAAAGATTAAGAAAATAAAAAATACAATAATAAAAATTTCAGTAAATGGTTCAAAATCACTTAGAAAGTAGAACAAAAACCAGAGGATTGGTCTAACATTCAACTAAAGGAATTATAGGAAGAGAACAGAGAAATGTAGAGGAAGAAATTAACAAAGACAAAATTTCTAAGAACCAAAAGACTCATATTGCCAGATTAAAAGATTGATTAAGACATGTACAAGAATGTTCTTTCCAGCATTGTTTTTTGGTAGTGGGACGTTGGAGGCAACCTGGGTGTCCATAACTGAGGTAGTTGTTGTTAGGTGCCATCAAACTGGCTCTGATTCATAGTCACCCTATATATAACCGAATGAAACACTGCCTGATCTTTAACTGGGGTAGTAGATAGGTAGACTGTTGGATGCACACTATGGAGTATTATGCAACAATTAGAAACAACAAACAACTTGTATATATATGGCAACACTTAGCATCTTAAAAACACAGAGTTTAGTGAAAAGAAAGTAACAATGCCATATAGCATAATATCATTGCATAAATGAAAAACACATGCACACAAAACATAATGCACATTTTCTAAAAATACATACAAATATAAAGTATATATTAAATATATTTTAATGGCAGTCCTGACAGGGAAATGGTAAATGGGTATGGGTAAAAGGGAACAAATAAATGTAATTAATTAGTAGTATAGATATCCACATTGATGCTTTAGAAATAGATATTGTCAATAGGGGTATTTTACCTTTAATTTATGTTTTGGTGAGTTGAGCAGTTATAAAAAATAATAAATGTTGGTGTCACTTAAAAAAAAAAAAAACAGTGTAGATACTAATTGAGTGCTCAGCATGATTAGTGAATCAAGACCCACACCAAGATAAATGATCAAGAAATTTCAGAACATTCAAGTTAAGAGAATATGCTAAAAGCTTCCAGAGATTGGGAAAAGGATAAAGACTCAGGAATCAGAATGGTATTAGGTTTCTCAATGAAAGCATTGAAAGTTAGAAACCAATAGAAAATTTCCTAAGTTTTCCAAGATACAGTTCTATACCCAGCAAACATATCAATTATTTGTGAAGATGAAGTAGCAATATTGTCAGATACCCTTTCAAAAAGTTACTAAATGTTACTAGAGTATGTGCTTCATCAAAAATAAGGAAATAATTAAGAAAGAGGAATATGAAAATAAGGGATTCAACAAAGGAGAGAGGCAAAGAGAATTCCCACGATGATGATTAAGGGAAGTTCTAAGATGACAGCTATTTGGGAGGCCTAAGGAGCATCAAGTTCAGATTAGAAAAGGATGACAGAGGGATCTAAAAATAATCTTTAAGGGGAAAAATGAAACTAATATATTTCCTGATGTGTTTTATTAATTCAGAAGAGCTTTATGATTTTGTCAAATCTGTATCTGTACACACACACACACACACACATTGTATATATAATATATATGTAAATATATTAATGTATTTTTGTATGTATTTGTATGACACATACACACACACACACACCTAATCTAAGCAATTTCATAACATGTGAAATTGTGACCATAAAGAAATATAAGCATAGTAAGTCCTTTGTGTGGTTCTGTTATAGAGATGCCCCCATATTGTGCTATGATTGCCTTGAGAAGATAGGAAAGGAGAAGTGTGAGGAGGGGCAGGGAATGTCAAAGGGTAAAACCTTAGCTTTCACAGTAAGGAAGTCTTCAAGCAATATCTAAAATAGAAAGATAAAGAAATAGAAGTGTAAGTATGTTGTTGTTGGTTATGTGCTGTTGAGTCGGATCCAACTCATAGCGACCCCTCCTTGGGTTTCCGAGGTGGTATCACTATGGAAGTAGATTGTCCAGCCTTCCTTCCAAGGAGTGACTGGTGGGTTTGAACCGCTAGCCTTCTGGTTAGCAGTCACGTGCCTTAGGCACTAAGCTACCAGAGCTCTAGTGTAAGTATGTTGTTGTTGTTGTTGTTATGTGCCGTCGAGTCGGCCCCGACTCATAGCGACCCCTCCTTGGGTTTCCGAGGCAGTATCACTACGGAAGTAGGATTGCCCAACCTTCCTTCCGAGGAGTGGCTGGTGGGTTTGAACCGCCAGCCGTCTGGTTAGCAGGCAAGTGCCTTAGCCACTATGCTACCAGAGCTCCTAGTGTAAGTATAGTACTTAGAAATTTGGAAATGAATGCCAGAAGAAACAGGTAAGAGTTAAAAGTGGTTGCCTCTGGGGTGTGAGATTCAGGGGTGAGGAGGGATAAGGCAGAGAGCTGCTACTTTTTCATTGTAAGTCTTTCTAAACTATTTGCTTCTAAAACTTTACATGCATTACTTTGAGGGAAAAAATGAATTTTAAAATAACATAAAAACCATACATACAAAACATATAGGGTGAAAGGAATTTATAAGAACATTCATCTAATATTAGTGGAGGAAGGATTGGCACTAGAAAAACAATATGCAGTAGGGTTCTTGAAGAAACAACCTTACTAGTCCAACTGTATGATGCTAAGAGTATGTGGTAGTAACTTGTACAATGATTACAAAGGAAAAACAGAAACCATTTTGAAGTTCTTTTTATTTTATTTTGTTGTGATTTGGGTGAAAGTTTACACAGCAAATTCATTTTCCATTCAACAGTTCATACACATTTTGTTTCATGACATTGACTACAATTCCCCACAATGTAACAGCTCTATTCCCAATTCCCGCTGTAGTTACCTCTTCCCTATGTCCTTCTTATGCATTACTGCCCCCTGAGAAATCTCCCTGTGCAAATACTGCCCTTCTGTTCTCCCATGATTGATCATTCTCAGGAGTGTATCTGCCTGGTGTAAATGTTCACCTTATGTGTCTGTCTATTGTTTGGCTGGAAGCAATGGGAGTGAATTCAGTTCCAGGCCTGAAAGGTAATTAGGGGCCATAGTCTT